AACAACATATAATTTGAGCCCAGCCATTTTCCATTGTAATGTCACTGCTGAAAGAGCATGCCGAAAAAGAAACTTACCCAACGCGGTCTCTCTCTCTCTCTCTATATATATATATATATATATATTTATTCCAACAGCTTACCATACCGTAAAGTTGATGTATTTTCCAAAAGTGCTTAGAGAAGGAGGCCTGTCCTGCTAAATCCCCTCTGCTTGTGGCTCAGGCTGACAACTTGCAGATTTTGTTCCTTGCTGTAAATAGGRGAGAAAGACTGGGCTGATTTTCCAATACAGACACTGATTTCCTTCAGGGGGTGTAAGAAGAGTGGCAAAAKGGTTTTATTTTCATTCTTCACTCGATTATTATCCGTTCCTCAGCAGCAGAGCTTTGGATTGCATAGTATGCTTCGTGAGAAAAGCCTTTTGCCCCAGGATCGTTTCCTTTCATTCCTCTGGCCAGCGCAAAGGTAATAAAGAAGCTAAAAGACCTATTCGGCTGAGAGAGCCAAGCATTATTGTTCCAGTCTTTGGCGTTCCAGGTCAGACAGCAGCAAGTGGGCAAACCCTAAATTAGAAGCAGGTTGATTGTTATYTATCCTTGTCTCCATCTCTCGGAGTGGGTGGGGTGTCTTTCTCCCCTGTCTGACAGCGACCGCACAGGAGCAGCGCCGCTGTCCCCTCCCAGCTCTGAGCGCTGGAAAAGCTTTCCAAAACCTCTGCATTCCCAGCACAGGCAGGCACYGACTAACGAACAAGGGGAAAAAATGGAAAAAGAAAACCAGGAGGAAAGAAAAACCCACCAAGAAGAAAAGGAGGAAATCACAAAAAAAAAAGGGATGGGGGGAAGAAAAAAGGGGGAAAAAAAGAAAAAAGTGTAAAAAAAGAAAAAGGAAAAACTAAAGGGAAAATAAAGGAAAAAGGGGAAAGGAAAACGAAGGGGAAAAAAGATAAAAGGGAAAAAGAAAATAAATAAAAATACAAGAGATTTTTTAAAAGAAAATAAAGGAGGAGGCAAAGGAAAAAAAAAGGAAGGGAGAGAGATTGTTCATCACTGACGGGGTGGCCAAGCACTGGAAGGTGCTGGGAAGGTGCTGGGAAGCGGTGATGGTCCCAAAATCTATTGCTGTTCAATAAGCATTAGTACAATGATGTTAGATACATATTTCCACTTTTAGGCTGTTCTATGTGGAGTCAGATGTTGTACTCAATCATCCTCAGGGCTTCCCTCCAAATGAGAATATTCAATGATTCTAAGTATTAGTACTGAACCTCAATCCCACTTAGTTACAGAGCTTGCAGGATGAAATCTCAAAATATGATAGCAATATATTAGCAAATCCTCATGTCACTGAAAACAGTGGGGAAAACAAAAACCTCTCCAACACGTTAGAAACTCAAGGCATTACTTTACTTACTGGCCAGGATGTTGTTCTCGCCAGGATGCGTCACAGAAATTATTTCATCCACACATAGCCTGGGTGTGCAGAGAAAATCATTCTAGGACACTTAAAATTTACAATATTTTCCCCAAACTTTATACAGTCAAAACCCATATAACTCTACTGGTTTGATGTTCATTGGTCCAATGTTGCATTGGGTTCCTATTGGATCTGGATTTCTTCGCCTCTAATGCTAATTTGGTCTTCCTTCTTATCTTTCTTTTCCTAGACCACACTAGGGGTGATGTTCGGGGCTGATAATCTCTTAAATGGCTGTTGATAGYTCTTGATGGCTCTTGAWWTCCTTATCTTCTGTGCCACTCCCGGGTCTGTWGAGATGTTAACTTCATCAGGCCTTACCTGGTGGAGCAATGCCCTGGAAAGGAACCTTCCCCCAGAGCAAAGGCAAACAGRGTCTCTGATTGAAGGTATATAAAAAAAAATTAAAACCGGTATAATTTCCAACACTAACATTTTATTAAATAAGGGAAGTAGATTTTTGTTGTACGATATTTTTTTCCAATTAGGTATTTTCTAAAAGAGTATCAAAACACTGTATGAACTACCAGCAATTAAACAGTATCAATTCCAGCTACCAATTCTTGCTCCTGGGGCAGGGAACATGTCATGCCACACACACTGTGTAAGAGCAATTTAAAACACAGACAGGGAAGGGATACAAAAACATTATCTCCATTTCACAGTTCAGAAGAGAAGCACAAAAAGACTAAAGGGAACACCCAGAGTCACTTGTGCCCTGGACTGAGCTGGGGATGTTGCATAATCACTTTGATCTGTTCCAGCATGGCATATCAAGGAAGCAGGAGAGGAGATGAGGGCAGATGCCTCTGTGCTATTACTGACGTAACATTTTTCCATTTTTATTTATAGGGATTCTGGAGAAACAAAGACTTTCCTCCTCCTGTCATAACTGCCTGGAAGTTCTCCTGACCTTCCCCCCCACCTCCCATTTTTCCAGGTGATTAAGCTGTGCAGTCAGAAAGCATGACTATAAYGCCAAGAAGCCGGCAACTTTAACACCACAAAAGGATAATTGTGTAATTCTTCAGGACAGACTGAAGTCTATTAGTTTCAGCACAGACTGACCCTCAGCTGGTGATGACAGAGTGCCAACAGCTCCCAGCACAATGACTGACAGAACTGGGACATGGCAAATTGCACTTTCGAAGCCTGCAGCAGAACAAGAGTTGGGAGACTTGCTTTGCATTAAAACACCCTTGGACCATATTCTTAGATCGAGGGACAAAGTAGGACAGCACATGACTACTTCCCTTCTAA